CTCTCCTGCAGGATTCCCCCAGCCTGGGCCCTCCCAGGGGCACACAGATAAGCCATGGCTCTCCATTTTCTCACAAGGTAACTTCAAGGGCAAGTGCTCCACAGAACTCACTTAGGGAAACGCCAAAACGGGTCCAGGTAGAGAGCATCCTGGTTAAGACACTGTTACCTTATTGGGGGAGCAGGTCTGTGAGCTCCAGAATGGGGTTAACAGGGATTAACAGGGCGCCGAGCTGAATTCTCAAAGGAATGGCTGCACCATTGCAAAGCACACTCTGAGCCAGAAACTCTACTGGGTCTCTCAACTCCTTCCACTTTCTGACACTGAATCAGAGAGCAGGAAGGGACATGAATTCAAGGGCTGGGGGACAGCCACACCTGCCCAACAAGCCTTTCCCTTCTGATGGGTCTACAGCTCCTGGAGCCCCATTCTGTCCATGCCCATCCGGGGGCCGCCACACCAGAATGCGCCCGCCCTCCTGCCAGGCCTCATCCACAGGGTCTGCCTTGGCTGCCCCTCCCCAATCTGCCAGCCCTGCAACTGCCACATGCCCCACCTCGGGCTGAATTCAGGGTTTTGGAACTCCTTCTGGCTCTAAAGTTCTATCTGTTGTAGTCTATGCCCTCCAGGGGCCAAAAGTTAAGCAACCAAGAGAAAATAAATTCACCACTCGGGGGAGCTACAGCAGGTCCCATGTACAGGAGCCCAGCTAACTGCCAGGCGTTTGCTGGATGCTACATGCCCATCATTGCCACTCCTTATAAGAACCCTACAAAGTAAGCACCATTATGCTCTTTTTTACAGATGAAGAATTCAGGGCTTGACATGGTTGCCCGACAAAGATGCCCTACTAATAGATGTGAGATCCAGGATTTGCACGTGGGTCTGACTATAGTCTCTACTCCAGTGTGTATTTCCACAGAGAGAGCCAGGCACAAGAAGCAAGAGCTGCCTGGATGAGAGAAGGTCAGCTGGAGTGGGACGGAGAACTTCTCCAAGGCCTAAGTGATCTCATCCAAGGAGCCTGTGAAGGTCGCCCGATGCAGCTGATCCCCAGGACGCGCGAGAGGAGACGCGAGGGCCAATGTGCATGGAGAATTCGGAGGCCCTGAAGCGCCAGCCCTGATTGGATGCATCAGGCCAGACCCTGGGTAATTACCAAGCCATAATGGGATCTGATATTTATATTAGTCCCGAGCCTGACAGAGAACACGTGTTGTTTTTTCAGACACAACCATGGAGACAATACCTCAATAATTCATTACATGCAGACCAGCCTCAATCAAGCCAAACTTGTACCGGAGGAACAGCCCTAGCTCAGGGCAGGAGGGGGGCCGCCACATGAGGCCTCTCAGCAAACTAAACCAGGAAGCCGGCCTCAGCTTCCAGACCAAAGGACACTGTGTGCTGGACGAGGGGCAGAGGATGGAGAGAAAGAGACAGGAGGGGGGGGGGGGGGCGCGAGGGGGGGAAACAGGGGGGATTGAATTCCTAAAGGAATAGCTGGCTACACCACACTCTGAGCTAGGTCTCTCAACTCCTTCCACCTCTTGACACTGAGTCAGAGAGCAGGAAGGGACGTGAGAAAGCAGAATTCAAAGACCACATTTTAAACACCAGAAAAGAGACCAGAGAGGTTAAGTGACTTCTTCAAGGTCACGGCCTTCTTCAGGCTGCTAGAGCAGCTCCCTGTTCACACCAGTCTGCTGCTGGACTGGACCTCAAAATGTCACAGCCCAGTCAAGAGAGAGCTCTGATGAGACCCAACAGAAAAAAAAAAAAAAAAAAAAAAACACACAAAAAAACACAAAAAAAAAACAAAAAAAAAAAAAAAAAAAAAAAACACACATGACCGAGAACAGAAAAGGGCACAGCACTGAAATGACTGAGTCCAAGGTCCCCATAGGAGGGGAATGGGATTCATGTTCCTATTTATTTCCTGAAAAGAAAAACCCACACTCAATTCTTTTCAAAATTATAGAGTCATTCACCATTTGGGGTTCAGAGGCCAAAGGTACCACTGATGCATCCCCAGTCCCAGGTTCCTTTGATCAGAAAGGATGTTGTGGTGCCAGAGACCCAAAGCCTGTGGTTCCACAGCTCCCTGCCAAGACTGACCTCCAGGGTTATTTCTGGCGCTAAAAGGACCAGCTTCCCAATGGACTCCCACCATCTTGGGACTGAATGAAGGTGAGGGGGAAACACCTGTGAGGGCCAGTAGAATTCTGAGGAAAGGCAGCCTAGGTTTGCTTGAGAAAACCAGCAGGAAAGTAATTATTCCAAGTTCAGGCCAGATGCACTCTTCTGTACTACCAAATACTTAGAAAGCAAAAAGAATGAAGGGCAAAGAGATTCATGACTGCAATGGACATCAAGGGTAGAAAGAATAGTTTACAGAAGGCCTAAGTTCTTATCACTGGGGATAAAGAGCTGGCTACACACGGTTTAATTGAGCAAACCAAGGGGCACGTAGTAAGAGATTCCGGGTGTGGCTTAAAATGAACTCTGATGGTATCAAGTGCGGCTGGAACCTTGTTGTACATCGCCTCACATCTTCCCAACCAACTGCACGCAATTCTGATTTTTTATAGAAATTTCTAGTTAAGTCATCTCAGCACGTCTTAGAGCTACAAAATATAGCCTCACTGTAGGGATTATTGTATTTCTCTAATGATTGCTGCCAAACATCTATTTTCTTGAGAAAACTGACAGAAGTTGTGCTTGGTCATCATTCGGAAAAGCGATTCTTTATGGGGACAATAGGATTAGCATTTCCTCCCGGGCACTGCAGTGGCACTGATGTACATACACTCCGGAGCAGAAAGACGCTGGAGCGTGCTTAACACCCCAGGACTTACAGAAACACCCAAACTTACTTAGCTCCCTTTGAAAAACAAAGTTTTCATGATCATCAAGATTGCCGGGTTGCTTATGGATGAGAAGGCAGTTATAAAAAGTTCACCAAAATCACTCCATCACTCAGTCCAGAAAACATTTCAGATGCACACACTCATAAACTAGCTTCCCCTCGGGGCAGACACTGAAGCTCAGCAAAGGAACATACACTTCAGGGCTGAGGACTCCTGGAGTGGAGGGGGAGAGGAACTAGGGGTGGAGAGTAAATGCATGGATGAGAAGGCCTATGAGTGAGCCGTGGTAAAGGGGGGAGCAACACTAAGGACAGGGGCTCAGGGGCTCACGCTTGGGATTCTGCTTAATCTGGTGGCTTCTCTGGGACCTGGGAGGTTTTCCACGGTGACAAGTCAGGAGACACCTCTGGGGCTGAGGCAGTGACTCCAAAGGAAGCAGGCCAGCCCAGCACCTGAAGGCTTCCGGAGAAGTGGGAGAGGGAGAGGGGGAGGGCTTTCATTGTTCTCCCTTATTTCCAACACACCAGCATTTTCCAAAACACGAACGTGCTGCCACAAAACACAGCTGAGCTTCAGCACCCAACAGGATGTATAATTGATGAGGAGAGCGGGGTTCGGTTCACCCGGTGTCACCCAGAGCCCCTGCTTCCCTCCCTCTTCCTGGAGCGACTCAGGAGCCTGCCACAAGTTGCCTTGCCCTGCGGAAGTTTTGAGGGGCCCTTGGATGAACTTTCCCAGGAAAGGTGCGAACCCTCCGAGGGGGGATCTCCTTCTACCTTGCACTGCTCCCCAAAACCCCTCCCTCTCCCCTCCCTCTGAAAATGCTGGCCCCGGGAGGTCCCCCAGGATGGGAACTATTCGAACAGAAGGCAGCTGGAGTCACTTTTTTCCAGTTCTTTCTTTTATATTCTGCAGTGTTCTATGCCCCCCTAACCTTCAGCCAATTGGGACAGGAGGGCAGGGGTCAGTCTGTAGAGACCCAGCCACAGACCAGGCGGTAAGCCTAGCAACCGTGCCAAAGCCAGGGAGCATGGGGGCTGGTGGGCGTCTCTGTGCCAGGGATAGCCTAGCCCCACGTCCAGCCACCCCAGAACCGGCCTCCGGGGCTCCCAGGCGGACCTTCCCCCCTCCCCCAGCTCCACGTTGCTGGTGGCATTGCGAGGGACCTAAAGGAAGTGGCATGGGGGCGAGGACACAGATGCCGCAGAAGCTGGGCTGGGGGTGGGGGTATGTTCCAGGAGACTATCTAATCTAAGGGATGAAAAGGGAGGTGACATCAGATGTGTGACCTCGCCACACTCCTCAAGTGCCAACCTCCCTGAGCTACCTCCAAAACCGGGGTCCATCTCCCCAACTTTTCTCGCCCACGCCCAGGTTCCCCCGCTTCCTCGGGCCATGTTCCTCCCCAGGGATTCCCTGTCCAAAAGGTTCCTCCTCTACCGCAAGGACTTTCCTTTCCTCTGACTCCACCAACTCGCCTCCCAACAGGTTTCTGAAGTGCGGCCGCCGCGCTCCCCTCGCCCACCGCTAGGAGCCGGGCGGCGGCGGCGAGCCCGGGGCACACGCACCCGGCGCCCCCGGCTCCCGCGTCCGCGCCCCCCACCCCGCACCCCGCGCCCCCGGCTCCCGCGTCCGCTCTCCCCACCCCGCACTCCGCGCCCCCGGCTCCCGCGTTCGCGCTCCCCACCCCGTACCCCGCGCCCCCGGCTCCCCCGTCCGCGCTCCCCACCCCGCACCACGCGCCCCCGGCTCCCCCGTCCGCGCTCCCCACCCCGCACCCCGCACCCCGCGCCCCCGGCTCCCGCCTCCGCGCTCCCAACCCCGCACCCCGCACCCGGGCGGCGCGCGGCCCCCACCCGGCCGCGGCCGGGAACAGCCCCTCGGATGAGCGGGGGGACAGAGCCGGAGCCCGCGTCCCGGAGCGCACCGGGCGGGGGCCGCTCCTCGCCTCCGCCGCGCCGCCCGCTGCCCACACCCGAGGGCGCGGGGAGCCGGCGGGCGGGGAGGGCGGCGGGGATGGAGGGCGCGCGGCGCGGCGCGGCGCGGCGGGGAACGGGGAGGGGGATGCCCGGGGCGCCGAGGAGCAGCGGCGGGGCCGGCGCCGGGGCCGGGCGCCCGGGCGCGCCTTACCTTCGCCTTGCCCCCGCAGTGGCAGCACACGGTCCACAGGTACTTGAGCGTCCGCCAGAGCAGGATGATGAAGAGGCCCCCGAAGAAAGTCACCATGGAAGAGGCCAGAAAAGCCCACCACATGCGCTGGCCCCGGCTGTCGCACGGCACCTCCATGGTCACCGGGATGATGAGCGCATTCATCTTGGGCTCGTGGACCGAGGACGAAGAAGAAGAGGAGGAGGAAGAGGAAGAGGAGGAGGAGGAGGACGCGTCTAGGCTGAGATGGTTCGCGTGGATATTGCTGCTCATTCTAAGACCGCTGCCTCCGCCGCCGCCGCCGCCGCCACCATTTGCCATAGCTAGCAGCGGGCAGCGGGCGCAGGGGCTCGGGGGAGCTCCACCCGCCGCCGGCGCCACCCCGAACACCCATCCACAGCCATGTTGCAGCTCCTGCTGCCGCCGCCGCCGCCGCGGGGCGCGGGGAGGGGGGGGCGGGGAGGCGCCTGGGCTCGGGGCGCTGTGCGCGACCTGGCGGGGTGCGCGGAGATATATACGGCCGGCCGCCGCCCGCCTCCCCCGCCGCCCGCCCGCCCGGGGGGAGGGGATGGGCGCGGGGGCGGCTCCCCTCCTCCGCACGCGCCCCGCTCTCCCGGCCCGGAGCGCGGCTGTGGTGGGGGCGCCGGGTGCGGGGTCTGCGCCGCCCCCGGGCCGCCCCGCTCTGTGTCCGGCTCTGTGCGCGGCCCGGGCGCCGCCCGCCCGCCGTGCGACACGCGTGTGCGCCGCGCTCCGGCCCGGGACCCCCTCCCCGCGCGCTGTCCGCGCCGCCGCCGAGCCGCTCGGAGCTTCGGAGGCGGCAGCTCGTTAATAATGGATCGCCGGCCCCCTCCGCCCGGGCGCCGGGCCTCCTCCCGCCGCCGCCGCGCTCGGCCCGCGCTCCCCGCTCCGGTGCGCGCTGGGCCGCGGCAGGTTCATCGCGACCGGTACGCCGGGCGCCGCCGCCTCCGCTAGCCCCGCTCCCCGAGCGAGCGCGCCGCCACCGCGGCCCCCGCCCGCCCTGCCTCCCGCCGCCTCCGGCTCCTCCGCGGCCCCGGCCCCGCCGCCCGGGCCTCTCCGCGCGCGCCCGGGCTCCTCGCGCCGCCGGCGGCTGCAGCGACTGGAGCGGCGGCTCAGCCTCCCGGTGGGAGGGAGGAAGCTCGCGGTGCGGGGCGCGGAGCTCGGGGCTGGGCAAGGGGCAGGGTGACCTCTCGGCAGCGGCCTGGCGCGCACCCCTGCCACCCCCCAGTGTCCGAGGAGGAGTGCCCCAAGCCTGGGCACTGGACCTCGCAACTCTTCCCAGTGTTCTGCGCCCCCAGCACAGCTCCCTGGGGTCTCAAAAGGATGGGTGGGCCCCCATAGCGGGCCATTTTCCCCAAAGGAGACCCCATTGGGGAGGGGAGGGGGGACCAGCTGTGGACTGGATTCCACAGGCCTCACGCCTTAACGATCCTAGATCCTGGGCCTTAGGAGGGAGGAGGGCCCATCTTCAAGGTACACAGGCTAGTTTGACCCCCACCAACCCTGAGTTCGCTCCTCAGCCCCCCCCCCCCCCTTAGAGTCTCCTGGGCCCTGTGTGTGGAGGCAGCGCCATGGGGAGGCTGGGAGGCTGACAGCAGCAGGTGGTTTTCCTTCTGAAGCCACAGAGGCCGCCTAAGAAAGTAGACAAGGATGGGCAGGGGGCCTTGGCCTCGGGGCTCCAACCTGCAGTTGAGTTCCGTGAAGTCGCTTTCTTTAATCTAGCTGGACTCCATCGTGTGAGGAGGGCAGCTACCATAGAAGAAGGGGTGCTCCAGGCTCTATTCAAGCCCACCTCCCCCCCCCCCCCCCCCCCCCCCCCCCACGCAGGGTGTTCCCTCTTCCCCGCTTCAAGGTGAGAGAGTCTGGGTTTGCTCCGCAGCCTTTATCCCTGTACCCGGAGGGAGTCCCCTTCTGGTGTTCTCAGGGACCTCGCCCCCTGTGCTATCCGCTGGGCTACAGGTTCTTCCAGAGCTGATTAAAAGGAAGATGATCACGCCAAAACCAGTTTGGCTCAGTGGATAGAGCGTCAGCCTGCGGACTGGAGGGTCAAGGGCCCTTCCCTTGGTTGCGGGCACATCCCCAGTGGGAGGCGTGCAGGAGGCAGCTGGTGGATGTTTCTATCTCATGGATGTTTCTAACTCTATCTCTCTCCCTTCCTCTCTGTAAAAAATTAGTAAAATATCACACTGTCCCCTCACTGCCCACAGTGGTTTCCCCAACACTTCCAGCTCATTGCTTTAAGTCTAGCTGGAATTCTCGGGTTCCTTTCAGCCCTTCCTGTGCGGAGGGGAAGTTAGCATCCTTCGGCCCCGCCCCTCGCCCTTGAAGGCCTGGACGCTGGAAAGGACCTGGCAAAGGAGGCCGTGCTGGGTAGAGAGGCTGAACGGGATGTTTGCAGCTCCTCCTGCTTCATTCACAGCATAGTCATTGCGTTCAGGACACACACCATTAGAGAAAGGCCAAGGTCAAAGGGGGAAATGGAATGAGACAGAGTTCTTGGTGTCTGGTACTCGAAAGCAGCATGTGAAAAGAAGCAACGGGCTTTTCCAGAAAATGGAATTGTCGTTCGTTTGGGACCTCCACCCTTGTCTTCCGTGTCCAGCAGCCACTCTGAAGGCCTCCCTGCCCGATCAGTCCCACCCAGCAAAGGCCCTGGGGTCTGCCCAGCACTGGGGCGGGGTGGAGGTGGGGGTGCTGTGAGGATGTGAAAGCAGATGACTTTGGCCTTGAGGTTCCTTGGTTTATTCGCCTTCTAAATGGCTGTAGTTTGCGGCCTTTGGGCCTCCATCTATGTCAGGAAATTCAAGGGTTTTCCTTAAATCAAGTCCAAGATTTGAAACCTGAAAACAAAACATGCATGACATAAAAACAGCAGCAAAGGATAGGGCATTTTCCCCAGGGCATAGAAAACCCCCATCATGGATTCCTTCCCCCAAAAGCTGAGCTTTAGAAACCAACAAATCCCCTCCAGGCTCCTCCGGGCTTCCCCCCAAACCCAGGTTCCCCTGAAACACCATCTGGGGCTCTTAGCAACAGGCCACTGGTTGCTGTGACTTGTTACCCCACATGCTGGATCACCAGCTGTGTTTCTCCTCTACCATCATCTTCATCTCAGCATCCTTTCAGAGAGTGCCAGAGGCCACTAGACACCACCTCCTGCTTTCTTCATCACCCCTGCCTGTGCTGATTGCAGCTTTCAGCAACTTCTGTGTTATCAAAACCTGGGCTCAGTTGGCATTCATCAGAGACCCTCGCTGTGCAAGTCAGTGTTCTGCCATCCCTACCATCTCAGTCCTTCGCCGCCTCCCACGTGGCCTGAGCAGTGGGCACTGACGAGACAGCGCTGCCACACAGCACCACCCACCAGAAACAGATCTCCTCAGGCCTTTCCCAGCGGCCTCTTGCTGCTTCTTGGCCACAAATGTGTGTGCCAGGTTCAGGAAACCTTGCGCCTGGCCTCACCAATTGGGGAAGAGTTTCGGCACAGGCAAGATGGAACGTCAGACTTAAAAGGGACCTAGGGACTTTTCATTCATTGTGTTTTATCATTTGTAAATTGGAATAAAAACAGGAACTGCCACACACACACACACACACCACACACACACACACACACCTCAAGGGTAAGGTGATCAGACGTCCAGCTTTTGGAGGGACAGTCCCAATTTTTCAGGACTTTTTTAAAACGCCGTGGGACGCGGGACAAATTGTTAAAAATCAGGACGTCTGGTCACCTTACTCAAGGGTCATTTGTAAGGATAAAAAAGAAAACATACAGATTTTTTGTGTAATTACTGTGACCCAAAAACAAACAGCCACACTCAGACCGTTTCTTCTCACTCCCCAAGCCAGCACTTGTGCATGCAAGCACCACCCCCTGAGGCAGGTGCTGCATTCGGGCAGAAAATTGTTGCTCCCTGTCCCCACTTTGCTGTTCTCCATCCCGAGAGCCCTTCTCTCCGTGGAAATGAGAACTGAGGCCAGTCCCCCCGCCCTCTGCTGCAGCAATGACATGACAGCCTGGAGGGTCCCCCACAGCCAAGCCAGAATGGTCTCCAGGGCAGGCAGAGCCACTCCAGCCTGAATGGCCTCTGAACCCTGGCACATGCCCACTCACTGCCCTCCCGCTGCTGGCAAAGCCACAGACACGTGAAGGGTATAGAGAAACTAGGAATAGCCCAGTGCACTTCACCTCTTGTAGGTGTGTCTGCAGACTGGGAGTTAAGGACCATTGCACAAGCAACTGAAGGCCTCAACTAAAGTGGAAATTTCAACCTCCTCTGTTTGAGCACAGCGCAGGTCACTTATTTACTACTAACTACGTTTACAGATGTCTCAGAGAGGAGGTCAGCATCTTCATGATGTGAACATGGGCCTGTGGCTTCAGAGCCAACCCAGAGTTTCAAGTTTCTAAAGACTTCTAATCTGAATAAACCCAACTGATTGAAAAGAAAGAAATAAAAGTGCATAAGCATACAAACGGAAAAAGCAGAGTGGTTGAAGTAATAGGCAAGAGGAACAAAGAAGCTTATTTAATTAAATGTTGGCCCGCCATCATAATTATTGTTCACCAGATCTCATCTATCTGGGGCCTGGACTCAGTTCCAATCCTCCTGACATCAGTCTTAGTGATTTTGTTGTGGAAAAGCCAGGAGGACTCTGTAAGTGGTGCAGCGCCCTCTGGTGGCGCTTTCTGGCACGACATTATTTTGTGAATGTTTGAAAAAAGGGTTCATTAAAAGTCAGAAATTTGGTATGAAAATTCCAAAGAGAAAAGTCCTGCTGTAAAAACATGAAACCACAATAATAATACCTACTTGCCATTTGCATCAACATAAACACTGTTGTGATCAAAGCAGTAGCAGGGCTCATATTGTCACCAGGATTTAATGTCCTATCTTCTAAGCTGTAACTACCATTGATAACCTAATGCTCCTTAAATTACCATTGTGTTATCTTCTAAATGGCTAATAAATCTCTTCCCTTCCTTTAGTCACTATAGTCTCTGTGATGTAAGAAAAGGCAGTAGCTCTTCTTCCGTTTTATGGGTAAGGAAATGGAGGTTTAGATCTGTCAGGTCACTTGCTGTGATAAGAGTGCCTGTAACCTTGGAGTAATTTATTTCTTTATGATTTGTAATGACAGAGTACTGAAGTGCGCCACTCCTTAAAACCATGCACTAGCCTGGTTGCCAGAAAGGAGCATTGGTTTCCAGGAGACAGAGGGACTCAGAGAGCAAACTTTGAGGAGTTGTTTATTATAAATACTAGAGGCCCCATGCACAGATTCATGCATCGGTGGGGTCCCTCTGTCTGGCTTGCAGGGACCAGGCTGAAACCAGCCCTCTGACATCCTGGAGGGGTCACAGATTTCTAAAAAGCTCAGGCCAGGCCTAGGGACCACTCTGGTGCACGATCGCATTGAGGCCAGAAAGGGACCGAGGGAAGGCTCCAGGACAGGTCCAGCCAGTTTTACCTGGTCCAGATCAGTCAGAACCCAG